ATGAAGTTCTGTCGAAGACGATGCAGTCGTGCTTCACGAGTATGAGGAGGCCAAACATGTCGTTCAATGTCAATTCTGGCACAAGGAAGCGCAGCTGTACGATGTATTACGGGCCCGGAACCGTTGGGTTCGCGAATCTTCCGAAGGTCAGGTCGAAACAAAAGTTGAAGTCGGTGATGGTCTAACTGAAGATCTAAACCCAGAAACTCTTCGACAGCATCTTTACTAGCCACATGTTCAAGTTTAACAGGATGCTGATAGAAGTTGCTCAGAAAGTGTCGAAGCCGTGGATCTTCAATGATCTTGTGTGAAACAATACCTAGTCGGTTGTCCACATACTTAGTGCAGAAGAGAAGATCTTCTTTGGAATCAAATAACCTTTGCAAATGTCCTACGTAGATCTCTTCTACAATGGAAACAGTACGTAACAGTCAGTCCAGCCAGCATAGGGGAAATCTGGTTAAGAATCGTAGCTCCTCGGCATTGACGAAAAATTTTATGCATATTTTGTAAAGACACTTGCGTATACTTGCGTCACAGCTGAGATGTCCACAACGTCTGCAAGATGAATAAGAACAGCGTGTTTTACTACTTTTCGGGGGGGGGGGTCTGCCACGCCGGATACGCAGTTGTGCTTCTTGCTCACGAATGTCATCAGAAACGAGGCAGTTGTTATGTCAACCTTCTTAAGACTACAATATTCGTTGGCGGCCCATTGGACAGCATTCAGAATACGAAAGACAGGAATGGATGTCAAGAATCCTACAAGATCTTCATTGTGCACAACAGCTCTGGCATCATCAGGAAGTAGTTGTAGAGACAATGTAAGCTGTTGAAGCCTACTCGGCAAGGTGTTTAGGCCAAGTGATCTGGGACACGTAGTTCGGAGAATAAGGGTGGCGCGAAACAGCGTTGCATACAAAAAATGAATATGCGAGATAGTGGGCCTGGCACCTTTGAAGTCTTTCTTTTGCTTATGAAGCAAGTATGCACCCGGTAAGCTGGATGTACGAAGATAGATTCCCCACTTATATCGGCAAGGCCGGGTGGTTGTGTGACGGAGTAGAACTTCCGCTGGAGAGGGCTGCATAGCCAATTGCTGATACACAGCTGTATCTCCAAAGGTAGCTTTGTACGTTTGCCAAACAGATTGTTTGCAGAATGCATGACCATGCGTGATTGCATGATCTCGCCCGTGAAGGAATAAACGCGAAAGAAAGTTCTTGATATAGATTGCATCTTTGTGCTTCAACCGGCTGAAGGATACAGCTTTGTGTTAAGGCCATTCCTGCTGCACGAAGTACTGCCAGTCACTAGGAGTGACAGTAAACACATTATGATGATGACGAAGCCATCGACCAACAACTGGCCAGGTAGAGTTGATGTAATTAATGGTATAGGTTGGGAAACAACTAAGAGCCCATAGAATACTGCAACAGACGTTAAAAACGCTTAGAAAACGTCGTGGTTAACAAAGGCGAAGCCACATGTCCGTATGAGGATGTTGTTGAGAGCATCACAATTACAAACAGGTGGGGGGTCCCAGGACCATGACTTAGCCAAAGCAAAATTCTTGTAAATCACAGCTCGAACTGATCGATGTTTACCTGCTACGCACTTCTTGTGGGGAAGGTGAAACGGGATCGTATAGTCTTTGGATTCTTCAATAATAAAAGGGATTCATTGCTCAACTGCCTTCTGAAACGACTCGTGCGCCAGCAAACGTAATGCCAATGGTCTGGGGCCCTGAGGAATTGCACATTGACGAAATCTAAGAATGCGGCGAAGTACAGATCGTACAGCTGTTTGGGGAGGATCATCTAGCAAATTGCAAAGACGGAAGAAGGCATCAGTTTGATGATTGATGATTATGAAATTCAACGCTCCTGCGTCTCTTCTCAGTCTGGAAGGCTTTCAGAAATCCACGGGCAATGTTCATCAACAAAAGCCAATTGTCAAAAGGCTCAAACAAAGTGTTCTCATGCAATCGAAGGAGACCTAAAGTGCGTAGTTTTCGACGAACTTTAAGCCACAGTCGCCTCCCAGGACTTCCATAAGTTGACTTCAGTGTGAATGGCTGAGTGAAACCGGTTGTTGATGTAGGATGAAGGTTGATAGTCCGAGGAGCATTCAACTGTTGCTTCTACGAATGAATGTCAGAGTATTCAATGGCTCGGGCATCAATGAAGGTTGTCAAAGGCTTGAAGCACCACAATGATGGCAGCAAAACGATCGCTACGAGTGTGGAAGTAGTGCAGCATAAGCTCGGCATTGCAAAAGTCGCCGCGTTGTCAAAGACGTTTTTTACGTAGACGAGCATCTTGTCGACAATGAACAGATACTGATGTTGACCCGACTTAGAACCTTTGGCACTGTAACAGTGCTCCTGACGGCGAGTCCCATCCCCGCTTTTCGAGAAGCGGCATCAGCAGGACGTAGACTCGACGTAGATTGTATTGCTGGATTCGAAAAGAGCGGAAAATTGCAAAAGAGTCAAGCCTCGTAGATGAAGGTTAGCTACGCTTCCAAGAACGAATACGCCAATATGCACTGCGTGGCAACTGCTGCGAAGAATTATATACATGTACCAAAGTAAACGCAACCAATATTCTGGCAGATTCTGGCAGGTAAACGTAGTGCAAGATACTCACTGACATCATAAGCAACATGCACAAAAATCATCATGCCCTGTAACAAGATTCGAGGGTTGTCGGCAAATATCACATCCTTATCCGATCCTAATCAGATGTCGTTGATTGAAGTGGCGGCTAGCAGCACTGTGATGAGCTTTGGACCCTTGATCTTGGATGCCAAAGCAATGGTGTATCCAAGGTGAGACAACTTGTCACGCAGAAGCTCGATGCGATCTTTTGGAAAGGCCTTAGGAATCTCCGGAGCTCTTGCAAATGCTTGCATCAACTCTTGGTGCTTGCCTTCGCCAATCGTTTGCTTCAATCGCTTGACCCAGGCATTGATGCGCTGTTTAGTGTGTCCAATGGTCTGATTGAATATGACGCGATTTCCAAGTTATGAGTCAACAGCACGATCCACAATATCATCTTGCATAACAAAAAGCATCGGTGCTTCCTGTTTCTCCAATAGTCGTCGTCGTCTTGGTGGCTGAGGGCCTTTGCTGTTTCGAGCCTTCTCAGGCTCAAGCTGCGCCCGCAGGGACTCCAGTTCTTGTTGAACAGGCGTAGAAGATGACGACATGCTGGCAGCAAATGGTTCCAATTGGGCTTGAGCACTATGAACTTTGACTTCTTCAGAGGTGGGATGAGACTTGGAAAACTCGGCAACACTCTGTGTCTTGCAAACCTGATGGGCAAGGTCATCCAAATCCCAGTTCTTCCGGTGGTGGTGGAGCAGTTGGAGCTGGAGGTACAGGCGGTGGTGGTGGTTTTTCATCGAGTAACTGCAGTGTTGATCGGTGGGGCAGGTGGAAGAGGTGAAGGTGGAGGTGGAGGTGGCAGAGGTGGTGCTGTTGGGATGTAAGGTGAAAAAGCGTGCCAGGTGCAAGTGGAGTAGGCGTTGAGTTGATCGAAGGTGCATGAAAAGGTGAAGATTGTGGTGGGACAAATTGTGGTCGTGAGTGAAACGGTGAATCGGCCGCCGGAACACCTGCAGGTACAGGCATGACTGGATATTGAGGGTTCGCCGGATACACTGCATTGGAAATCGGCGACATGTACGTTGCGGTAGCTTTAGGTACTGCTTTGGATGGACTGGAACTGCAAGTCGGGCCTTGAGAACGACGACGTCTTCTCCGGCGGGTACGTCTTCTGCTTAAAACAGGAACTAGCACTGCTAGATCTTCGGCGACGCTGTCTGTTTCGTGCAGGCGGCGGGGCCTGAGATGGCCTGAGAGGGCCGCAGAGTTCGCTGCAAAAGGCCTGGCTCATGAAAAAATGCAGTATACGGTGAGACTGGGAGGCGAAGATCTTGCATCCTCTCGGCGTCCATCTTCGCGCTCTGGGTGCTGCTGAAAGAAAATGATAATTTGCCATGGCTCAAAGCACAAAGCAGAGATTGTGACACAAGAATGTAAAGTGATTCGATGATAATGAATCTACTCCTGAGCTCGTAAGCCTGGGTCTTCCAAGAAGCTGTCCAGCCAAATCTCCCTTGAATGCATCAACAAGGGTTGCTCGTGCGAGCTTGAACCAGGGCCGTAGTTCTTCCAGCATCTTCCAGCAAGAAACATGTCAATTGGGTCCTCACTGTTATTGGGTCTGCAGGGACTGAAGGCTCATGCACCAGAGAAGAGAAGATGTAGTCAAGGTTCCAAGTTCCCCCGCGCTGACCGGGAGTCCGACAGCGCTTTGGCAGAATTACTGTAGGAAACACACTTGCAGACCAGTCATTGTTATTTAGATTTTTTGTACATTGATACATTGCAACTTGCCGGCTTGCCAAATTCTTGGCTTAGCCTGGTTGCCATGCAAATGCAGGTACGCTGGGATGGTCAGTCCCAGTATCCTGAGGACACCACCATGGAGAGCTTCGTTGGGCAGAGCTCTATGGGCCTTCTCTGCTCCCCTGGTTTCTTGAGCACCAATGCCGCCTACATCCTTCAGAACAGGAGTTGCACACACACACACACACGCAGACACACAGACACACACACACACACCCACACAGACCCACCTGGATAACGACTAGCAGCGAGCACATGCAGGCAGCGGCAACAGTTGGGTCAGAACGAGCCAGTAAGACGCCAGTGTGTGCGCCTGATCAATGAACCAGAGACCACTACTCACTCGCTAGAGCTGCTAGATTAATGCAGTTCCACCTGGGGCTCACCATTCTACCTAGCCCGTGGGTGCTGAGAGCCAAATGCCGAACATTCAGCCGCGTTGATCCTTTAGACTGGACAGGTGGTTGCGAGTAACCATGCGATATTGTGATTTGCTGACAAAGCGATTTTGGAAGCCAGTGTCCGCGGTCTGAAGCCTGCAAAAGGCGAACTCCTGACGGGATGGCTTCCTCACTCGCATGGCCTAGATTCTCGCTGCGCCTGAAGCCTGCCGCGCAGGAGATTCAAACACGGGGAGCAATGTCAGGCAGGCAGCAGGCAGCATGGCAGCAATTCGTGTCAACCTGCCTGCGATGGAAGACCTATGATGAAGACCTTAGCCTCGCCGATGAAGTCGCGTTCGAGGGAAGCTTGGCAACTTGGGGCGGCCACCTTGTGCGAGACTTCTGCAAGGGAAGCTTTGGCACTCTCTGGTCTGAGATGTCTGCAGTCTGCAGGCAGCCTCAGAGCAGAATCTGAAAACACGAGATTACTTTGATTACTTGAATCACAATTGCGGGTCGGCACCCGCAGGGCAGTTGGGTGGCCACTCTGACAGGATGTCCTGAGAAGTGGTCTCACTATGCGAAAACCACTGCTCTCTGCCTTGGTATTGGCCTGCTGTCAAGATTCCGGCATCACTCCCCAGTTCTCGAGACCATATCCTGTCCTCAGATTTCTCTGCGCGTCCTTTCTGTGCGAACTGTGAGCAGCCGAGAAATCAGCCGCAACAGGACTTTCACATGCGACAAGGGGGGAGATGGATACTTGCAGGGCATGCAGGGCCGATTTACTACCGCATCCTGTCTCAATTGTTCCTCGACAGGTCTTCCTCCACTTACTAGTACCTGCTGCAGCAGGATTCGGGAACGAATCCGACTTGATGTCCAGAGATATGGACCATCGAAACTGATCGGTCTCCAGGAATCTTCACAGGTTGACTGCGCTCGACATGATCAGAAACGCAGCTTCATTCTGGATGTTTGCCAAGGTAGCAAACGTGGCAAGGGAACAGGAGCCCGCAACAACCAGCTAAGTCAGCTTAGTGCTGCCTAGCCGAGCCACGGTCCAGGGATGAAATAATGAGAATCTGGCCTCGAACTGTGCTGGAACGCATAGTTTGGTACGGCACTCTGCGTGAAACAACGTGCAGCGTAGCTGCAGGACCAGCTGGCTCCCATCCAGAAGGTCAAGATCACAAGCACCAACTGATGTGACCTGCCCGCACCAGAGCGGAATCGAAATCGAGGTCTCACTGCTGCACCGCTGACCGTGCCGCTTTCGGCAAACAAAGGCTCCCACACCGCCCCATGTCCTCACGCCCACAACCTTGGACAATCTGCAGGTGGATCAAATAGCCAAATAGTTCGTCAGATGCTTCGTAAGCCATTACCTGCATCTCGCCAATGTGTCGTCGCCGAGACACAACTCCCAGCTTGAATCGTTGAAATGCTTCGGCGCATGCTTCTCCATCTGAGCAGGTGTTTTCATCAATCAGAAGCACCTGAACTTTTGGCAGGGAAAGTTCATGCAAGCTTCGTGCGGGGTCCGATACCGGAGCGGAAGAGTAGAGTCTGTAGACAATGAGTGGCAGATGCGAGCAGGGATCAGGCCGTCGAAAGCGCGGAGAAGATGGGGAACCTGCGCCTTCACTACGCTCCGAAGTTTAAAGTACATTCGGTAATGGTTGTGTATAGTGCAGAGATCTGCAGAGGACAAGTCCCGCTTGCGACAAGATGCACAACGAGCCAAATCAACGTCGCGGATAGCGACTCGTCTAGCTCATGTAAACGATTGGCTACTCAATTCAGGATTCAAGGTCACTCCTGCCTCACATGCTCACAGAAGCTACTGTAGGGCCGGACAGCTCGTGAAAGAACAAGCGCGAAGGACCATGGTACGAAAGAGCCAGCAGGGCAAGAAGACTGAAACATACTAAAACCGCCGACTTGATGTTCTCAGATCGCAGCCGACACTCAAAAGATGTTCGTTGACCGGAAGTCTAGGTTTCTTGGAATACGAAGCTGAGTGAGCAAATCGAGTGGGTCATCATAATAGCAGGGAGATTTGGTGCGAGATGCTGCAAGTATCCGTGGGCAAGCTTGTCCCAGAAGGTCATAGGTTCATAGACCATGCAGCCAATCAGGAGGGGAGAACGAAACAGCAAACCTCCAAACTCAAACGCGGGCAGGGCCATGGCGCCATGGCAAGGAAACCTGGGCCCGGGGCCCGGGGTTCCGGTGTCAAGCGAGAGGTGAGCTCGGCCAAAGTTTCCCCCTGCCACTGCCCGACAAATGCTCTCAAAATTCTGAGCTTTGCCTGTGTAGGGAGCCGGAGTGCCTTCGCGATTCATGAGGAATCGAGCGCTTCGACAGCCTGTCGGCCCTGCTGTGGTGCACAAGTATTCAGATTGTAAGGGCTTGCGAAGCCAGCGAAGGCCAACGATCGGAACGAAGGTCGAAGCTGACAAAACTCAACGCGCTCATCCGGAGAGGTTCTAGCAACCGCCAGTGCCGACATGACCTTCCTTGCGAGCTTGACAGGACCAAAAGACCTGCGAGTCGCGGCCGCGGCCACTAGCACCGGCCTGCAGAGGACGCAGCTCCCAAAAAGAATCCGGCCGAGAACACCTCGCACTCCGCATGCCTCCGCCTTGTGCGCACAGCTTTCGCGAAAGAAGAGGATCTTTTTCTCAGGTCTCTCGTGTCAGTCGGTTTCAACACACACACACACACACACACAGACAACCGTGATGAACGCTTACTCGTGATGGACCTGGACAGCGTGGCGGCGACGCGATGACGACAACTAATTAGTCAACGATGAGATGCAATTCCCCTCCTTTAGAAGTGTGTTGGCTTCCTGGCGATTCCAAACTTATGAACAAGACTCAGTCGATATCAGTCGTGCATGTCTCGGTGTCAGGCAAGCTTTCCGCTGGCGCAGAGTTCCGGACAGCGTGTCGGCATCCGACCACGGCGAGGAACCGTCCAGCCGAGAAAACCACATTGCCTGTCGAGATGGACGCTTACATAGATGATCTTACATGTAAATGTAGGTAGACGGAAAAGAGAAGCTGGTTTGTGGATGTTTGTGAATTGGGGCAATGGTGGGGAAGGCACTATTGCGGCTGGTGCCGCCGGAATTCACAGCAAGGCGCAGCTGCTTCAAGAAGAGCTCCGATGCGAAACCTCCCCCGTTGCCTGGGGAGTTCTGCTGGAAAACTCGCCGTCTGTAATCGAAGCATGGTCTGGCCACAAGCGCAGCTGAGTCTCAGCGCAGGTCAATGATCAAAGCATCTCGACTGGCTTCTTGAGCAAAGCAGCCTGAGCAACAAGCTCTTATAATGTGCAACTTCTGCAAGGGTCTGGACGCGCTGTTGCTGGAAAGCCCGTGGTCGACAGAAGACCCATGTCACAGTAAGTTCGCAGGGTTGAGCTCTGGTTGGGAAATCATGGCCAAACAGAGGCAACAAAAACACAGTTTAGTAAGATAAAGTTTAATAATTAAAGAACACCTAGTCGCACTTTTGCCGTGACTTGAAGACTCTCATTGCAGGTCAAGTGAGTAAGTCCCGCCAACAACGGCCGCTTTAACCGAACCGTGACATGATAAAGCGCATCTCAACCAGAACGCAGGACGCTAGAAGTGGACCGGCACAGACTACAGGAAGTTCCCTTATGCCGTCTTCGAAAGACTCCATTCGAGCACTGCAGCAAGGATTCACGCACTGGCCCCTGGAGTTTCGATTTTCAGGCGCCGGATTGGGCACCATGGCACATGATGCAGTGACCGGACACGCGGATGCCGTCGCCGGATTCGCCCCACGGCACAAAGCGGAAGACCGCGATAGACCGCGCAACAGCTATCCCTTCAGGCCTCCACATTCAGGCTTTTACATGAAGCAACCGCGACACCTGTAGAGCCCTTCAAGTGGAAACCAGGGCTTGGTAGCCCAGCCAACTTGGGGATCGGTGTTTTTGGACGAGCCAGACCTATGTCAGGATACCCAACATCATCGACCATCACAGCAGCCTTTTTTTGAGAAGGGACTCGACTGCTGCCCCTACTGCCCAGCTTGACCCACATGATCACAGCCGCCCTGAAGCTTAAAACCAAATGCCGTACACCTTCAGCGCACAAACATTAAACCCTACGCTAAAGTCGAGTCCTTGCGCATGTTGCTTGAAGCGCGGGTGTGTGACTCGAATCGGTGCTTAAACCACCGGCATGCTCGAATCGCGCGGCGAAATGTTCCAACCCTCTCCTCGTTTGGCACAGTCTGCCCGATTTCGCAAATCTTGGTTTGCGCCGCAAGCCTCTGTTCGGCAACAGAAATACGAGTAGTTTCTGAAACGGAGCGGCAGGGGGGGAGAGGCATTTTCCGAGGACTGGGATTCAGTCGACAAGGCCGTGTTCTGCCGATGTGCTGTCGAAAAATCCGACCAAATCCCCGCAGTGTCAGCATTGCTCTCCAATTGAAGAGGTGCAGAGCTGCAGAACCTAGACAGCGACTTTCGTTAGCCTCCTCGCCGTCATTCACAGATTTTGACGGGCCCGAATCGGCCCGAGCATGAACCCAGAAACATCCAGCCCACGCACCAATGCACCCTCCCGTCAGCCCCGGCCAGCATGTCACGGCTGCTGCGACGCAGGCGGCCACCCACCAAGCATGCACGCCCCGCAGCTGGCTAAGCCTAGACAGATCGATGCCTTAACACGTGGTCGCCTAAACATGCTCAGAAACGAGTCTCGTGAGCTGTTGGAGCTTCGTGACCGACAGACAGCTCGGCGGACGCCAAAGCATCATGCAGACATGACCACAAACCGTTCAACAAGAAACCGCCTATGCAGGCATATGCATACTTCCTGTCAGTGCAATCGGAAAAATGCGAAAACGGAACTGTGCATGCAAGGGTCGATAGAACTCCGCAAAGCCCAAGCGAGTGGTATCAGGGACATAGAGGTAGCCGACCCGGCCGTGTGTTGACTCATGAACATTGCGACGTCTTGCTTCAACCAGGTCTCTCATGCGAACATTGCGCATGGTATTCGCTCCTGCCGTACGAATGCGAGCTGTGCGACAAACGTGCTGTGTGGAAATCTCCAAATGTTTGAAGAGAGCCGCAAGTTCTCTCTCAAAGTCATCTGCTTTGCCACTTGCCCTGCCCTCGCGATTCCTGCGAGGACGGCCTTTCTCAGCTGTCCTCCCACTAGTTGCGGCCTGACCATGCTTTTTGTGTGTCTTAGCGGCATGCGACTGCCTGCGAAGCCGCCTGAGGCCATCGGCACCACCGTGTTGTGCCACAGTTTTCTGCAGTTTGGCAAACGAGGGAACTTCATGAGCAGGCACATAAGTCAGGAATACTTCTGCAGACGTGTCGGCAAGCATCTGAGAAATTGGCACGTCTTCCACTACTCTCATGCGGTTCACAGCCAGGATCAGGGCCCCTTCCGTGATGCCCACACCAGGCCTTGCAGCAGGGCCACAAAACTCTTTGTCCCAAACGTCCCCTCGCAGCACTTCGTCCACACGATAGGCGCCTCCACCTTCCAAATTTAGCCAGGAAACATCTATGCCCAAATGCCTGCACCGGGTCTTGTCACAGTCCTCGGCGCCTAGCGTGAAGCTGACATGGCTCAATCCCAGCTCGGACAGCATCTCGCCACACAAGTCCTCGAACTCAACGCTGCTCCGGATGCGCGGGAGTATTGCCCAATATCTGTTGCACGTGTCTTTCCAGTCTATCCCCCCGCATTGCTCATCGAACAAGTGCTCTGAAACAAAACAGCTTACGGTGCGAAACATCGATCGCCACTCCTCTATGTCAACCACCTGGATGGAAAGCCGGTCGAAGTCAAGCATGCCAGATTCGGGACCTGGCTTTGACATGTCCACATCCTCCTCCGGCAATCCAGCACCTGCCTTCACTACAAAATATGCATCCTCTTCGTCTTGAGCACACAGCAGGACGTTCTCGCAGTCTGAGCTTGTGCTGATGCTCGTCACATTGTCCCAAAGCTGAACTTCCTTCGACTTGTCCAGGTCAAAAACGAACAACGTGTTCTTGGCCTCTGGCTCATCCTCGTCGTCCACGACGTATGGGTTTGATGCGAAGGGCTTCTCTCTCAAGTATAACAACTGGCCGGCTGCTGTCCACATGCAAGTAGTGTAATTGCCTGGCTCCACCGGCAACTGCAGAACTCTGGTCTGGATGTTTTCCACATCAATCCGTACTTGCAGCGGCTCCTCAAGGGTTTCCGAAGCCGAATCTGTATCGGTCGGGGAGTCCGCTTCCTCGTCCAATTTTGCGGGTGAGGCCAGCATTCGCTCGAAGGGGTTTGGAGTGTCGCTTGTCAGAAGCACCAGAAAAGGGAGTTCTGTGCCAGATGCAAAAGTCAAATCAGCAGTCACTGCATCTTCAAGCGGAGCGAAATGTCGTGCGGAAAGAAAAGCTAGGTAGAGGCCCTCCGGATGAAATGCAGGACACCTGTTCGAGAATGTAGCATCTGCCACTACTGTCTGGGCTGAGGTCTCCACATTGATCAGCACAACAGACGAACCATGAGCAGAGCACCTCCGGCAGTAACATATCCACGCACCATCCGGCGACCAACAAGGATCTGAGATTCCTTCCTCCCACTCACTAGAGTCCATCAGCCGTGTCTCTGCAGTGATGAGCGCATCCAGCTTCGTGCAAGGGTCTTCCGGAGAAGGCTTCTGCCCATCACTGAGAAGCTCCATGACCCACATCTGGTTCCGAGAAGTGACTATCACTATTGCATCGTGCGCTGGAGACGCAGTCATGCTCTGGATCTGTCCCTGAATCTCGCAGCAAGTGAACTTTTGTGCAGCACTCCCGACATCGACCAGGAAACCACGCAAGATCTCCACTGGTGACATCGCCGCCTCATCGGCGCGAGCAGCGCGGTCGGATGGACGGCACGGAGGAGGATGAAGGACAAAGGCCCAAGGCTCAGAATTGACGCCGTCGACATGAGCCTCTGTCACCGTGAGAAGCCGTCCACTGAAAAGGTACTCCATTGCTACGCAACGCACGGCACAGTGCATAGAATTCCCAGGCCGGGTGGAATCTGCATCTTCCAGGCCCTTTTTGCCTTCTGCGTCGTGCTGTTGCTGCAGGAGCTGCACCACGGGCCCCTCCCACAAAGCCATTTCATGGACACTGCCCCTGCATAGACAGGAGACTGTATGCCCAGCCGGATGCAGCACGACGGAATCAATCCATGCTGAAGCCTCCAGGCCCCTGGGGAGATTTGCGTGGCATGGGCCAAAATCTAGCCAAATGCGTTCTGCCGTTGACGTAGACAGGTTAAAGTGCCACAGCTCACCGCCTATGGTGTACACCAAATCATCTGCTAGATCACCCCGCAAGCATCTCACGTCGAAGAAATCATGACAGGTGTGTTTTTGCAGATCCCGGCCATCCAAGCCCGTGCTCCAGACGTTGCCCGACCCATCTGGATCTGCAATAAAAAACAATCGATCGTGCTGCCAAGTCACATAACTGATATTGAGGCAAAACTCACCGCGAGCATCTTTAATTTCAACTTGCCCGAAGACTCCGCAACCGACGTCGATCCACAAGAAGCCATGCTGACCCCCGCGATAGCCCTGCGAAGGGGAAATGCAGGTATGTCAGTGGACTGACGAACGAGAGCGGCATGGCGAAGATGGACACGCTTTCGTGCTTCCTCTAACGAACACTCGTGTACAGCACCCGTCCAAATCCAATCACTACACATATCCGATCGAAGCACAAACGCGTGTGGCCTTCCAAAGGGTACGTGGTGTGTCCTTGGTGTGTCGGCCCACCAAGATGCCACCAGCTGGACCAAACGCTATTGCATCGTACCTTAAGCGGGCGTTGTCTTATTAGCTGACTCGTCAACCGCTACCAAGTGCCCGCAAGCTGCTCTCCTTCGAAAAGCTTCTTTGGCTTGCCGCCTCGAGTTTGCCCATCTGAAGACAAGGTCGAATCCACCTATGAGCACTTGGCAACACAACGCAACTGCTATATGTCACCACAAGCATAGGCTGCATAGCAAGTAAAGCTCAAAGGCAAAGCATCGTAGCATATCGTAGCATAGCATGATTCAACACACCAAAGCTGCAATAATAGTTAGTACATGTTAGTACTGCATAGTGGTCGGCGGAAAAGTCGGCGACCAGAACGACTGAATCGGTAAGCAGAGCGACTGAATCGGAAACCAGCCATGATTCGGGAACTAGAACGGCTGTTTCGGAAACCACGACGGGAAACCAGACCGACTGATTCGGAAACCAGAACGGCTCATTCAGAAACCAGACGTGTCAGTCGGAAACCAGAAGCCATGACTGCAATGGTTGCCAGGAGCATGCATTGAAGGCCTGGAAGGGACTGGAGCGGCGACAATCTCCGCGCCTCACTAGATTGTACTTCGGTCTTAGCATCAACTTGTTTGGGCCATCGATGCTCTCTTCTCAGAACTCATTCGACCATGGCCGTCATCATGGTCGGTCTATGGATGTTCTCTACTCAAAACGCATTCAACCATGGACGCCATCATGGCTGGGCCATGGATGCTCTCTTCTCAGAACACATTCGACGATGGACGCCAGCATGGACGGGGTATGGATGCTCTCTTCCAAGAATGCATTAGCCCATGGTATACCATGGCTGGGCCATGGATGCTCTTTTCTCAGAACGCACTACGTAGACCATTACAGCATGGGTTGGGCCATAGATACTCGTTTCTCAGAACGCACTCGAGCCTGGATGTTTCATGGTTGGCCCCTGGATGCTCTCTTTGAGCACGCATTCGAACATGGGACGTTATCCCGGTTGGCCCATGGATGCTTTCTCGGAGAACGAACGCATGAGACCATGGACGTCCGATCATGGTTGGGCCATGGAAACTCTCTTCTCAGAATGCATTACATCGTGTGATGATGATGGTTGGGCCATGGGTGCTTTCTCGTGAGATCGCATTCGAGCGTGGACGCTATCATGGATGGGTCATGAATGCTCTGTGCTCATAATGCAGTAGACCATGAGAGCATGGACGTTATCATGGTTGGGCCATGGATGTTCTCTCTGAGAACGCAAGAGACCATGGACGTCCGCCATCATGGTTGTGCCATGGATGCTCTCTCCTCAGAGCGCATGCGACCATGGACGTTATCATTGTTGGGCTATGTGAATGCTCTCTTCTCAGAACGCAATCGACCATGGACGTCATCATGGTTTTCCGCATGGATGCACTCCTGTCACCACGCAAGCCTTGCCTTGCAAGCCCCCGCGCCAGTTTCCAAGCTCCAGTTTCTGATGCGCAGTTGCCAATGTGCGGCGGTTTCCGATGTGCCTCGGTTTCTGATGTGCTGTTTCTGATTCAAGGCCCAGTTTCTGATTTTGCAATGGATCCTACATAGCCTCGAGTCATACGGCATTGTCTATCATGATATGACACAGTTTTCCCAGTCAAAGGGGCTAGTATCAATGACCTTTTGCACAGGATCCCTGTTGTCTTTTTCTGCCTACGCTTGACAGATGGAATATTTCCTATGCAGCAGGGTTACAGTCGGATGTGGCAGCATGATAGGAACACGCATGCCAAGAGATCCATAAAGATGAAAACATGACACAATCAGAAGATCCGTCCCACACTTCCAAACGTGGACGATCTAAGATGTAACCATGACAAAATAAGCAACGAACATGAAAGAACCATTTTCAGCCGTCTGGGGCCTGGCGTGCCTGTCAGTTGCCGGGTTTCCCTCTTCACAGTCGCCAATGGCACGAAAAACACGACACCGGAATGATTCACACTCCACGCACCTTCAAACCTCTGTATACAATGTCTGACATTCTAAGACGCGTTTCTTGCAGAGTCGGCTCTGGATGTTTTCTCAAGCTTAGGCTCCTCGAAAGCATGTGCTCCTTTTGCTGAGTGCTGAGACCAATGCCGTCCGTGGAGACCGTATAGAGAATTGACCGGTCGAAAGGATCCTCACCTTGGACGCCGGTCCATCAAGCCAAGTGACACGAGTGGCTGCACATGGCTGCACGGCGGCCTTGACTCGCCAAGTCTCGCCAAGATGCAAGTGCTTGTGAAGGCAATCTCCTGCTCCGTTTTCCATGCAGCCGGCCACAAATCGCCTGAGCCACTCGAAAGCACTCCGAACACCTGCGGCACACCCATTGCGATCTGAAGCGCCCATGGCAAACCATGTCAGGCGCCTGCAACTTCGGTAACATGTCGCATTGCACGACGCCATGAGTTCATGAGCCCTGAGCTGTGAACCTGCATCTTCCGTCTTTGACGGTCAGAACCCATAGGTCGGAGGAATCGGTAAAGGCAATGTAGTCCGCCGAAGGTGAGAACAATGGGTGTGCAGCCCTTCCGAAGTTCGTCATGCGTCTCGGATGCTTGGGTCCTGGCGTCCCCTTGGCACAGCACTCTGTCAACCAAATGTCTTCTTCCACCACGAATGCGAGCCTTCCTTTGCAAATCGTTGGATGACGAACGTATCCTCCATTGTCCAGCTGATGCTCTGTTGCTGCCATGGCCACAGGCCGACGACAGCATCTGACGGGTTTGGTCCGGCTGTTGCAATGCTGGGCAAATCCTGCTAGCTGTCAGCGAGCCCGAGTGCAAAGAAAATTGTTGCGCGGATCATGGAGGTATGGTACCTGAACAACATGTTCAGGGTCATCAGCATCTCCCAGGCTAATTCAACGTACTGCTTCCGCAACTGATTTTGCAATTGCGCTCTTTCGCCTCGGCAGGGTTTCACAAGGATCGAGTAGGAGAAGCCTTCTATCGCGATCGATGGCCTCCTGACCCAAAAAATACTCCGACAATCTTCTACCTGCTTCGCAGGCGAGTGAAACAAGAAATGCTATGCATATCACACTTTTCATCACTTATCACACCTTGGAATCTGCCGCTTCAGCATCATCCTTGTCGGCAAGGCCCAGGCTCTGAGGCCGCCTCCTCATGCACCAGAACGGCCTGCTTATTCGCCTCGCTAATCGTGCTGTGCCGAAGTTCGTGCCATACTGCGGGTTGACGATTATACTCTCAACGCCGAGAATCCAAGCTAGATCACGGACCTGTGTGTCAAGCCAAGGAGGTGCTACCAAAGGCTCCAGCACATTCGCTGGCGGAAGCTCCGCCAACAACCGGAGATGATCGACGATGCATTTGAAGGCAGGTGCTGGGTAGTTGAGGTATGGCCGCTGATTCGCATCTAGTTGCGACATGCGGAGCTTGTCGTCCTGGAAGAGCATTCGAAGTCGACTACCCTCCGGAGCCTGCAGCATTGTCTGCCTGCTCACTGTCAGAAGCTCTCCTCCAACATTGATCGTAAGGATCTCCACACCATTCGGACCCTTTACACTAGGACGCTGCGCGGAAAGGGCAGCTTCTGCAGCTGCGGCCGCAGCCTTTGCGGCAGCCGTGGCAGCCTCTGTAACTTCTGCCATAAGGCCATAACTCTCGGAACCCATGGAGTTTGAGGTGGCCTCTTCCTTCAAGACCTTGAGCACTACGTCCAAGGGGCAATTCTTGTACTCGTAGTGCCAAAAAGTCGGACCAAGCTCTGCCATGTCCAAAACGTGGAGGTGTAAGGAGTTGACGGAATTGTGACCGAAGACGTGGTAGAACAGGCCCACCCGATCACTCCATCCCGGGCAGTTCTTCGCATACCGAAGGGCTGCAGCTTTCATCACCTCGATTAAAGCGATGGCCCGACCGAGTCCGGCACCTCCTTTCGACTCGGGCAAAAGTCCAAAGCCCAAAACATTGAACCACTGCCAGTGAAGATCTCGAACGGTCAGGAAGCGGTGGCGCTTCGACATCGAAGCCTTCCCTACCCATTCCTTGTCTTCGGAGTCCCAATGCTCATCGTTGGCTGGCAAGTTCGAGGCAACAATGAAATGGTCCTGAAATTCTCCTAGGTACTCTTGCTCTTTGTCCATACCTGGCTGCGTCATCACTCCGCCAGCAATCCTGGCAAAAACGTTGAACGGCCGAGTACCGGTGGTCAGATTGCCAGTCACTGGATCAATAAATCCTGACCTCATCAGCTCTTCCTTGAGGGTCGGCATGCCTCCAAGCTCCTCCATGAGCATTCTCCTCGCGGCGCGGAAGCTTGCCGCATCCTTAATGATAGGAAGACGCCCAACAACCTCAGCTTTCACAGATGTTGCACCGTCTGTGCCAGCAAAGAAGAAATTGCCACCTCCGCCTCCTGCACGGGTTTCGCCAATCATGGACATGCGGCGCCGACGGGCCCCTGCTTTCTCCATGAGTCCAGGAAGGTCTGTGGTTTTCACAGGGGCTGGCAGAAAATTGCTTGCTGCCTCTTCTCTGAGGACTTTGATCACGTCATCCAGTGGGCAGTTCTTGAACGAATGGTAGCTGAATGCAGGTCCAAGCTCGGACATGTCTAATACGTGAATGAACAAGGAATTCACGTTGTTGTGCCCGAACACATTCACAAAAAGGCCAACCTTGTCCGACCAGCCTGCATTCTTCGCAAACAGCAGAGCCGCAGACTTCATCTGCTCCACTTCCGCCAATGCGGACCTTGCAGTGACCCCGTCGTCATCTGGTGGAACCAGTCCAAAGATCAAGGGGTTGAACCACTGGTAATGTAGATCTCGCGTTGTCAAGAAGCGATGCAAACGTGCCATAGATGACGTCTTGACCCACTTCATATCCGGGTTGTCCCAATTGATATCCTCAGAGACTCAGAGCCAGTGACATGCTGGACGCATACCAAGATCACGAAGGCTGGTGTACGCAGAGGCAACTTGGCAGCCGTTCTACCGTCCTACACGGCAACACCGTCCCCGATACTTTGCACACGCATGCTGCAGGCAACATGGAAGCAAAGACTCATTCTCCAGCTTGTTCCGGCATATCATGAACTTCCCCTTGAACGTGCCAAGCATGTCCTCAATGCATGCAAAACGTTCTCTGGGTGAAAGGCTTGGGCAAGCGCCTCAGCACTTGCGCCGTGGTGGTCATTGCTACAACACGTACCGGGAGGGCCAGGGCAAACTGGTTTCTGGCAAGTGTCTTGCTCGGCTTCAGATTCTGGCTGCTTCCTTAGCCAGGATGAAAGTCTCGGCGACTAGACGGAAAACGGTGCCAAGTTTACATCGAGGTGCATAGTGCCGCTTGACAGCAAAGCGAAAATGTTCATCGGCCGATCCAGCAGCGTCAGCTTCGAAGTCTCGCCTCAAATAATGTTGGTCCAGCACAGAATCTGACAATTCTCAGGTCGAACCCCGGTGAAAAGCTGGTCCCCCATCTGTGAATTAGAAAGCCCCAGCCATCCCTGCCAGGAGCAACTTGATTCGAAGCCAGCAGTGCAAATGAGAGTACAAGGAACCTAAGCACCTGACCGTCCACATACCCTGAATAGATCAGCTCCTCTTTCAAAGCGGGTGCGCCCCCCAGGTCCTGAAAAGCAAAAGCTCATCTGTCTCAGGCTCATTACCGCCCAAGCCAGGCCCTGCCTGCACTAGCTTGCGTGCAGATCGGTAGTGCGCCGCGGAATTCAGTTCCGGAATTTTACCTGAGATGTTAGCATAAGGCCTGGGCAATCCACAGTGCCCAAGTTTTACCACTCACTGCGCGTATGCAATCTCGGCAGGAAAAGTACAATGAGCATAGGCATAGGCAAAGTTTATATCAATCTGTCCGTTGAAATCAACTCAGCTGCGGACCCTGCACGGGTTGCAAACCAAAGTTACTCTAACTATTGTGGGAAGATGGAATCTGCATGCATGTTCTCAACCACCCTGTGAAGAAGAGGACTTTCGACTGACAGATTTATACAGATTTTTCACGAGTTTTGAAAGCTCCCGGCAGGTAAGCTCAGTGTGTGGCCGGGTGCAATTTACGGGGGTGTTCATCCCCGTCGAGCGGCATGTTTTGCATCCAAACACCGCAATAGTAGGGCTACTGCTCCAAATGGTGCCGCAGGGCTAAGCATGTACGATTAGTTGCCGGTGTGTTCGGCTCCAAGTGGTGCCTCAGTACTAAAAGGAGCTGGTGCGGAAAATGCTATAAGGCATGTGTCGCTTGTCACAGTCTGCACTTGAATGTCAGCGCGGCATGGTCCTGCCAGGCCCGGCCCAGCCACGGTGAGATGCAGGCGCGAATGTTCACAAGCTATGTCTGGGGGTTACAGATGCGGAGACTCTTGCCGTTGACTCTTCTAAACATGGAGGAGCCAGCCTTCATACTTGCGATCTGCTTTGCCGACTAGCCGACTAGCCTTTCAAATCCTGAGTTTAGGAGCCGCGTTGGTCCACTGATGCTGGAGACGGCTTTCTTCAGGCCTTGCCGCTGTGATACACTCGGCAAATTGTGCTTCTAGCTAGTTGCTACGGGTAGCGCTGCGCTTGTTTCGGGGTCCAAGTCCAAGTGGCTCCCCAGCGCTAGGATGTACGATCAGTTGCCGGTGTCTTGGGCTCCAACTGGTGCCCCAGCGCTAAGATGTACAGTACGATTTATTGCCTTGCCGGGCTCCGGGTGGCGCTACAGGGCTAAGATGTACGAGTTGTTGCCGATGTCTTTGGGTCCAGCTGGTGCCCCTATGCTCTGAGTCGCGCCCGGGGACAAGCGCTTTCCAGTGTGCGAAAGGCTCACAGGCGGCGGTGCCGGCCAGCAGCACAGATCGCCCAGAATACATGGTCAGGCGTCTGGTGTTCCCGCCCCCCCCCCCTTTTACGGGGTGGCTGGGGTCGGGCCGTTGGAGGGGAGCGGCAGGGGTCACAAAGAGGGCCGGGATCTTACGCAAGCCCTGTGCAAGCCATAAACCTTGAAATGTAGCGCGTGCTCCTGTTTCTATTCACCTTACAGTAACCTGTGCTTTAAACCCTACACTCCTACACCCAACCCTAAACCGCGCCTATACCTTTTTTGCAACGGCCTTGTCAGATCTCGACCGCCTAAACCTAAACCCCAAACCCTCCCTACAGTGAGCCTTTGTCTTGTCGACTCGAAGCCTTATACCTTTTAACCCTAAACCCTCCCAAAACTCAAAAGCTTCAGCTTAACCCTGTTTTTGGAGCAGGTAAGGCAAAGCCAGCTAAAGCCTAAACCCCAAAACCCCGCAACCACCCCACAGGGCGGAGAGGGACCCCACACATCCTGGACCATGGGTGGGGGAGGGCAGGGGGAGGTGGGAGCACGCGACCATATTCAATATATCCCCCGCTCCATCGGCAGCAGCCCACACCAAATCGCACATTTTGGCATTGGAGCACATGGTATGTCACATCGACTTTCTGCGGCCATGCTTGCTTGCAAACAAAACGTCTGTTGCACATGGTATGGAGCATAATGCTTCGCACGCACAGCTGTATCACAGGTGACTGACCGCCACCCGACCGACCAGAACACCGACCACGACGCAAACGGGACAACGACCAAGACTAAGTGATGGGCCAAAAAAATTGGTGGCTGTTGGGGAATTCAGCCACACCAATCCAAGATTGATCGCTGTTGCCCAGCAGGTTGCTGCACCCCTTTCTCTGTGGCCACTCCGGGCCTTGAGGCCAAAGCCAAAGCCAAAGAATCAAACAAGTTTGCCTTCTGATTGAGGCGTGCCCAGGCCCATCAACAAAGCCGCTATTGCCAAGCCTTGTTTTCACCGGATGTCTGTGCCTGCTCTGCAGGACCCAAGTTGGTCCTTCCACTCCCGAAAACCATGCAAGGCGTAACAGGCATCGGGTCGTATTGTTGTCTTGGTCGAAAACATGTGAGCCTTTGTCGTGTCGCGTGGGTCTGATGCGAAAAACCCGCGCGATTGCCGAGTTGAAGGCACCAATTGCGGGCTTAGGGTCTGTAGCCACTATGTAGCTTGGCTGTGGCAGGGCCACAGATGGTTGTGACACCACTGGGTCCACTGGCCGTGGATACTTGACCCAGAAAATCCCTGAGGTTCTCAATTCAAGTCGTCACGTCTCGCCTCCCGCCTCTCAGTTTCAATGCTAAGGCCCCTCCATGCGAAACGATTCCACGAAGCAGTAGAAACACGGAACATGTCTTGTACTTACGTAGCGTGTCCGTGTTGAGTAGGTAGTTCATATCAGTGCCCACTCCTCTCTCTGTGCCTGTCTGGCCCCTTCGTCCAGCTAGTGGGGCAGAGGGGCAGAGGTGAGCATGCAGAGAGCACTGTGCAAAACAACCGAGTGGCCAGTAATTTCAGCCTTCAGCGATGTAGCTCCTTCCACGCCCAGAAAGGAGGACTCCTGCATCTTCAGCATAGCGGCATCATGCTCCGTTATAGAACACGCCGTAGTCCAATCAGGTCCTTCCGTGCCGCAAGAGAGAAATCCGACAAGGATTGCATGTAAAGTGTCTCAAGGTCTCGAGGAATACGTAAGCCTCCCCATTGAAGACGCAATAGCAGGAACCCTTTTGAAAACTTCGTAGTTCACACCCTAGCTTACGAAAAAATTGGCTTCAGACATCGACCCCTTGCACGGCCGACCGGCCGTGCGTCAAAATGCGGGTCACACGGAATGCAGAAACCGTGTGTACAATTCACGAATGAAGAAGTTCAGGGGCGCATGCTGAAATTTAACACTCTGCTTATTTCAGGAGCGATGTCTGAACAGCACCCGTCTGAGCTTTAGCCCTCGGGACTTGCGCAAGGAGAGGCGTTTAGTCCTGCAAAGCCTTAGCCTCTGTCGAAAAGTATGTCAATTAATCGGTGGGCAGGGCTGAACTTTATTGTGAAACTGCAGGTACATGTCAAACCTTCCACAGGTCTTGCAAGGGCTCCAGGCAGCTCTCCCAAACCCACCCCATTTCCGGAAGCCATAGGGCCTTAGGGCTGGAATTCCTGTTTCAATGCATTGAAAATTTTTGCCGGTGGGCGGCCCAGAGCGTTTCCCGAACGAAGCCATTAGCACCTACCTGGATTCCTAAATTGCTTGCCTGGCATGGCCGAAAACACTTCAAGGAAATTGAACGGCTTAATCCTCTCCCAGGCCGTCTCATGGCAGATCGGCTCCGAGGATGCAGATTTTTGGATTCTTACGGTTTTGTCGCGGGACCGCCCAAGACTCTGCACACATGCGATCTCTCAAGGCGATTTTGGGGCTTGGCGCTCCCCGCCCCCCAAATTCCCTCACCCCCTCGCTTCAGCCACTCCGACCTCTGGCCCTGGCACCTTTCTTGTGCCGCGCTGTCATTGTTCTCTTCTCTGCAGATTGTAGAGGGGCCAGCTTTGACAAGGTTGACAGCAAAAGTCAGCTTCCAGGCCTGATGCATTTCCCAGCACTGCCTGTCCAAGGCAACGTGTTCTAAGCCGTCTGAGAAACCTATGCCGGATGACATGAAGACAGAGCCTGCAGCAGGTTCATGCTGGACAGCTTCCTCGCATTCAGCAAACAAGAATTCTGGAGATCATATTCTGGAAATGCGTGCCGAGCAAACTGCAACTAAGAACAAGTCCACGAGCTGCTGTCGCTTGGCTGCTGTGGCTCGGGCAAGTTAAATGGGGTCGGCATCCTGCTAACTGACTTGAGCCAGCCTCATGGCACAAAACCAATACTGTGGTGACAATCTTCCTCTAGCTCCCAATCAAGTCAGCTGGCAATGGACAGCAGCGAGTCAGAACATTTTGATTGACAGCCTCATGTGCCGAGATTTGTTGCTGTGGCCACCCCGCCCTGGCCTGTCAGGCATGCGAAAGCAAAACGCGATGGCCAATCAAGTTGTACCCGCTCCAACAGCCTTCCACGAGCACCTGTGCGTGTGAGCAATGTGAGGGGAGCCTGTTTTTCGAGTCAGCTTTGCAAAGCTGACCGGACAGACTGTTGTACCTGAGCCCATGGGCAGAATGGAGCTGAGTCTGTGAACTTGAACAACAAGCGCACCCAGTTCTTGCAAACGTTCATCTCGTGCTTGAGATACAGCCTCGGATGTAATGCGGTGATGTGAACGGACGGCTACGGGATGGCTCGGCCAAACATGTCCCACAACTGATGAACTCATCATCGTGTAGGCTTATCGCATGTCGCCCCGCAGAAGGAGGTACTGCTGGTTGAGCAACGCCACCTGCACCGAATTGGAACTCTGGTAAGCAAAAAAGGATACCGGGAGGCTCAAGCACTCTTTCTGTTTTGCCCTCAGCGACAGCGCTGCCACGACTACAGAGCGATGCGGGCATGTGGGCCACAGGATGCCAGCAGTCAGCTGCCCAAATGGGTCGGGAACGTCGGGAACCACTCCGAGAGGGGACGATGTCCAGCTTGCTGAAGCCTGAAGCCGATGCTCCACTCCGTCGAAGCACAGCACAGCAGGAGCCAGTCGAGCGTAGCGGCGTAGCCGACCAGACCGAGTCGAGACGTGAGCCTCCTTCCAGACGGCAGAGTGGGGCGACTGCGGCTAGTAGGTGACAATGTCGAAGTATTCCCTTACCTTGGCCGGCAGGAGACTCGCTGGCAAAAGCAAAAAGCTCACACCACTACGGTGAACAATCGACCGGACGCGAGCGAACCCTCGAAGGGCAGCCCACCAGCTCTTCCAAAGCATGAAAACAGCTGTTGCAAAGTTGCACTGCGCCATGGGATATCAGAAGGATCGCCATAGGCGAAGAAATGCCGGCGTGCGATAACATGGTCGTTACTTCTGACCTGCAACTGCACAAGTATTTGCAGCCAAGGTGTGCTACAAAGCTGAAAAAGCAGGATAAAGCTTCTGCCTCCAGAGACCACTGGCCCTGCGGAAGTGGCTGAGTCGCTGTGTACCGATGCCAAAGAAGCACAGAATGCTCCGAAATCGATATTGGCGCGTGCCTCCAGATTCTGGGTTGAAGTGGCTTGCAGGAAACCAAATTCACGGGTGCACACTTTGCGGAGCCACATGCCATCAAGTATCTGCATCGGTGTCCCTCGGGGATCGATCCAAACGAGAACCAGCTCCTGCTGCAAAGCAAACTCTCAGTCCAACCAGTTCCAACTAGAAGTGGACGCAAACTGGTTGTGGTGTCTGTTTTGTGGTAATCCACGGCTATTGTCAAATTGCTGCGAACTCGAGAAACCACGATACAGACAAACTTCCCCCTCCGCTTGCGGCGAAACGTAATTATGTCGCACAGTGTAACTTCTCAATTCTCAAGAGGTTGCCGGAATCAGATGTAATTTCCCAATAGCTTGGGGATCAGGAAGGAGCCGGAGCAGAAGACCGTGCGAGGGCAGGACCAGCAGACTGGAGGCCCGAGGGCCCAACAAACAAAAGGGCCAACGTGGTTCCACTATGTTCCACACCTCTTCCTATGGAGGAGGATCGCCCCCACCACTCCTAGGAAACAAACACTCGAAACCCATCCAGTTTAACTGCCAGCACGCAGCACCTCAAACTCTCGTCAGCATGCATCAGTCATGCGTGCTCAGCTTTGCAGTAGAATGTGGTAGGCTGCAGCCTGTGAGATCGGCTTCTTCGACATGCGCCAGTGTGCAACAGCCCACAAGCTTGGACAGCCTGGCAAGCAGGCATACATCACAGCGATGCAGACAGTGCTGATTGAGCTCAGCAGCTCTGGGGACCGGTACTGGATGCCGAGACGGCAGACACATCCCCATCGAAAACCAGCTCAGTTTTGTTCCTGAGGCGCAGCTTGCTGCAAATGCTCGCTGAATCCAAAAGGCCTTTTGCAACACAAAACCAAATGCCAGCAAGGACCAATCACATCCAACCCGCAGTGCCAGTAGCGGATGGGCCAATTTCGGCGTAGCCAGCTTCTCGCGGACCTGAATCTCTTGTCCTGGCTCCTAAGGAGCGGGTTGTTTGCATTTCTGTTCATCGATTTGAGGATCGATGAACACCCGCCGGAGCCAAGGAGCGAAGGCCAAGGCGGCCAAGGCTCCGCTGCCGCCGGCATGCAACGCCAACACGTGCAACGCAACGCGCAATGCTACGAAGAGCGAGGGGCGGCGACGCAAACTGCGACACGATCGGGAAACTCCTCACTAGTCCCGGAAACATCTGTGGTACAGTACGGCGTTGTGTTGACGGCACGGGAAGGAGAAGCAGTAGCCAAACGCCGCGTCAAGCAGCCGCTGGCTACCACGCCACCGTGCGTTGTACTGTGGTACGTGCCTTTTGGATCCGTTTGGCCTCCGACTGGCACCCGCAATGAGGTTCAGATCCTCACAGCTCCAGACTAGCCCAGCCAAAGCGCAAGATCACTGTTGATGACGGCCACCTCAAGATACACCGAAGAAGAAGAAGGCAGAGTCGAGGAGACAAGACTGCCGAAGGAAGGTCCAAATAGTCGGAATATAATCGGAATAGTACAAGTAGCAGAAGTAGCACTTGTCGCCCCCATGGCTTCGATTCAACATCAGTCGGGAGTTCGGACCTGGCTCTGGCGCTCCTGCACCGTCCCTCTCACCATCTACACTTTCGCTGTCGTTTCTTCGTGTATGCCCAACGATGGTGCCCGATCTTTCCGCGTCATTTCGCGGAGCCAATGGGCCTCCTATGGCGTCATATGGCCTCCCGGGCCTCTCGTCTTCCGGTGTCCTGGCACTGGTTTGCGGCTGGCAGCGACTCAGCGAGCCATGCTCGCGGTGTAGAGTGGAAAAGGTGCCGCGCTCGACTTCCTCGCACAGCCTGCTCCCAGTGTGCAGTCAAGCATCTAGCTGCAGCTGCAAAGTCTGTAGATTGAAAATGCCGTCATGGTTTCCTGGCTCGGTGACGGTTTGTCACTGACACTTGCAACGTTGCTTCACAGTGCTTCTGAGTTTCTTTGCAAGCGCTTGACAGACTTGACCACCGCTAGCGAACTGGCCAGGACTTCTACCACTCCTCAACTTTGCTGGTTCACTGAGGCTTGCCTCCTCGAGACCTTGTCCTATCTTCGCAGCATTTGGCCGAGGCGCTTCCGACGGAAGGGACGCTTGCCTGCCAAAAAATTTGGATTACGACAATTTTCAATGCCGTCATGAACAGGTTCAGACTTCAGTCTTCGTAACATCCGAAAGCTCCAGTTCGGCATCAAAAATCAGAATCCAAGGTGCCATTATCCACTTCGGCCGAGACTGCCGGCTGGACTCGGCATCCAACCGATCCTCTAAGGCACCGTGAACAAAATGCGATGGCTGCCACGGTTGGGTTACCGTCCAAAACGAACCAACTAAGTTGGCATGCTCTACTGTACGAAACTCGAGGTTCGTTGAGATTGTCCTTCAGTTGAGAGCTTTCCGGACTGTCGTCAAACTTCCTGGCAAAGAAAGCCCACCTGGGCTGAGGCAGTTCAAGGTTGACGGCGTAGGCTTCAAGTTTCACTAAGCCGCAAAGATTGTTTCCGGACTTCGTCGATCTTTGCGAAATCCTTAGAGGTGCTGCTGGTGAAGACGGCCAACCAAGAAACAGTTGTCAAGCTACAACCACAATGCTGCAGAGCCTCCTTCAAGTTCCCCAGAACGCCCGGGGATAAAATATTATATTCGCTGGTCAAGCTTCGGACTTCGCGCATGCTGTCTTTGTCAGTCCAATGGAGGGTGAAGTCCGAATAGCTGGTGCAGAACTTCGTGTTCAACACAACAGCCTCTTTGTGGCTTTCAGGACCATAGGTCGCCAGATACATTCGCAAACTAACCCAGGCACCTGGAAGAAACTCTCGTCTGGCTGCTTTACAACTGTGAGGTCGCGGAATATGGTCCCAATCAGGGTGGAAGCATTGGAGAAACTGCTCGCTACCGTGGAGGCCATCCCACGCGTCACTGCGAACCATTGCGATCCACTGGCATATCCTGACGTGTGGAGATGCACAACATGTCAGGCAACAGATGTGACCCCACCGCAAATGACACTCGGATGGAAGCCACCAGTCTGATGCGGTCGTGGCTCTCATGCCGGGTATTTTGGGATATTGTAGACCAGCTGACCTCTGCACACGCGCATGCGCACGTGCACACACGTGCACGCACAAGCACACGCACACATATACATACACCCACACACGCACATACACGCACACACCCGCACACACGCGTACACACACCTGCACGCACACGCGCACACACACACACGCACAGACACACACACACACACACAGAGATACCACATGCACGCGCACGTATGCACACACGCGCACACACACACACACTTGCAGACCAGTCATCCTTACTTAGATGGATTCTGTTTGTGCTAGTTTGTTACATTTTCCGCAACACATTTGATACTTCGCACGATATCGACTTGCCAGGTTTTTGGCCTAGCCTCGTCGCGAGTGCAAATGCAGGTACGTCACCAGCCGTCGCTGATGATATCCTCAGGACACTGTGGAGAGCTTTGTTAGATGGAACCCCACAGGCCTGCTCCATCTCCTTCGGAACAGGAGTCGCGCACACACACACACAACCGGTAGAACCGGTAATACAAGCATCAAAGACTACGATTATCTGGCTTGGTGGCAGCAAGTTGCGTAGGATGCTATTGAACCGAACCGTCAAAGTGGCGCAGAACATCATTCACTGCTTGATTTACAATTTTACGCAATACTTTAATGGACCGGGTTTTAGCCAATGACTTAGAAGGATTACGAGGATGATAAGCTGGCAATAACCTATTAGTAACCTAATTACAACCCAGTAGTAAACTGTTATAAGTGTGATAAAAAATTAGAAGTTATGGGGTACTATACAAAAGTTATATTTTTATAGAGTTTACGCAAGAGGTTATGATACGTTATGTAAGTGGTTAAGCATAAGAACTATCAGTCCTATATACTGGGTTGAGCCCCCAGCCCCTGCGAAAAATTTTAAGGATTGAGGCCTTCACAAGACCCACAAAGACCCCCAACTGCCCGAAACCCAGATTCCTGCCTGGCCGTGGGAAGCTCCGACGTGTGCTGCTGTGCGAACCAAGACATTCAACTTTCAAGCCGCAAGGTGTCCGATGCTCGCTGCTGACTTCTTCGGAAAGGGTGAAACTTGCAAAAGCCAAAGACACAAGCTGTACCTGGGCACCTGGGGACCTGAGGACCTGAGGACCTCAGGGCCACTACGGACCTGCCGCTCACTTGTCAGAGTTGCGAGCCCTGGCCGGCAGGCACAGTAAAACAGACAAGGCAGACTGAGAGGTTGCACAGCTTAGGGTTTGAGGGAAGCGGCCTTCGTGCCACGAAAGCTGCCAGCTTGTTCTCCAGCTGGGGCTGCGTAGTTCCAAGCCACTTACCTGGGTGGGCCCATTCTTAATTTAACACGGTCCTGTCCGTGCTTAGCCGAACATGCATGACTGCGACAATCTGTCCAAAGATGTCAGCCAAGCTACTTCTCTTCTGGAAAGCAAAGTTCCTCGGTTGCTTTGCTTTCATTGTGTTCTGACACGGACCACCGAATTGAATCTTCAATCCACAAAGGGCAAGGCCAAGCGTCATCAAACATGTCACTGCTTGGCATGCATTCCAGGATATCATGGCAGGCTTCAAAGTCCGCTGCAGGTTAGCAAGAGCTTTTGTATCTGCTTTACGCGCTTTCAAAGCCAGACGATGCTCCTCCAAGTGGATCTGAACCTTGTTCAGCACGTGGGACACGGACTTCCCGCCAGACCAAGTTTGAAAGATACGAGCATTCGTGCCATTCCAAATGGCTCCGCCATCATTGCCCGGTCCCACCGCCAAGCGTCCGAGCCACTCCAGCGTGCCGAGGATATGGACCGGCATGAGACGAGAAGCCTCCAAGGGGATGTCATGAAGCCTTGGATTCCCATACCACAACCGGTGCATTCTTACTGACTATCTCAGGAGCAGAGAAGGTCTGCCATGCAGGGCTGTTGCAGCCGCGGGGCACATCCTGAGTGACAACCCAGGTCTTTGACTCCTGGCCTTGGAAGTGCTTCGACAGGCTTCCGTCCACGAAGACAGCCGCAAGATGCAAAGCGTCAGCAAGTAAGAATCTGCTGAGGTCTTTGTTGAACTTGACGACAATCTCGCCCTTTTGCTTTTTCCCTTGCTTGACGTCGCGCTTCGAAGCAGTCTTGTTTCCCAGGAACCGCTTCCGTTTGCAAACGCCGCCCGATGCTTTGAAGTACTTGACTAAGGTAGCTGCCAAGCAGAAGTTGTTTTGCTTCTTCAATGACCGGGCTTCGCTGAGGAAGAACAGTGCCAACCTGAGTGTTGCTGCTCAGTCGTTAATAAGCGCAACAAAAAGTGTCTGCAACTTTGTTCAAAGACAAGTCACTGGCTGCTGCGGCAATATGATGCCAGGAAGATGAACCCAAGTTGTTCCCAGGCAGGCAAGCTCTGAAAAGCGGCCGTCCGCTGCAGAGCCTTCAAATGTCGGCACACAGGGTCATGGCCTCGGCCGGCAACAACCTCCCACTTCCTCTGGACCCCACAATAACTCCTCAATCCTGTAGCACCGGCACTAAACCCTAAACCCCAAACCCTAAACCCTAAACCCTCTACCCTAAACCCTAAACCCTAAGCCCAAAACCCTTGACCCTTAACCCTCTACCCTAAAGCCTAAACCCCAAACCCAAAACCCTAAACCGACGGAACACCTGCGGCTTGGTTCACGGATACCTGTGTGCTATTGTTTTCACGGATCAAGAGCTTTGGGGCTTTTGTTTTCTTTTGTTATCCATTGTTGCGGGTTGAGGTGTTTAGGGTTGAAGGGACTCGTCCGCAATCCTAGGCTTCCAAGGTTTCAGCTTGATACGGGTTCGTATGACTGCGGAGGTTTCTACAGCTTTAGGATTTAGGGTTTAGGGTTTTAGGGTTCAGCAACGACGACTCAGTCGTAGTTTGGTACTGCCACTGCTGCTACGACGACGAAAACGACGACGAACACTACTGTTACTGCTGCTACTACGGGGGTTAGGGTTTATACTCTTAAGTTTTTACTTTTGTCAATATGTCCTGAATATTTAAATTCTGTGCTTAGTGCTGCGACGACGATGGGGCGGTCAGGGGTCTATAGGGTTTGGGTTTTTGGGCTTTGCTGGTGCGTGTCCCTTTCGGGGTACAGCTAGAACTTTGCAGAGCGAGGCCATGATGAATGAACGACCCTGCCTTTTGAAGAACTTGTGTGCAGTCAAAGCACGATCCTTACCTATCGCATGCGTGAAAGAGCCACGAAAAGCTCGCATGACAGTCCAGCCAGGGCTGAGGAACGGGTTGGCAAACATGACGATCTTGTAAGCCAAAGTGTCCACTTTCACCTCCAATCAGGGAAGATATGCGCAACAGCATGTGTTTTGATGATGGATCCGGTTCCGATATAACTTAACGTGCTATCGACGAGTTGCGTTGGCACTCATGGCATTGCTTCGGTACATGATGTAGGCGGCCAAGAATGCCTGGGGCAAATAATCGGTTTCATGATTTAGGCTTTATAGGCTTCAGGGTCAGGTTTCGCACCAAGCACCGTCGGCACATCATCCTGCCGCTCCCAGTCGCGGAACAGAAAGGCTGCCAAGTTGATCAGCTGCACCCCCGCCAGAAAGAGCTTCACAACCTTCCCAGACAGCGAAGGTTTTGGGATGCCCTACTGCAACTACTCTTGGAACAGATGCAACTGACAGAGACAGTTGCATCTAGTTTAATAAGTTCTCGTTTCCCCAACCATCGACAGCTTGCAAGCCCTACTCTGAATGTGCTCTATACTTCCTCAAATGGATGTAACTTCAATCAAAAACATGTGAACACAAGAGTTTGAGGCGCTGCCTGCATGGTCTGCCTGCAAATGGCCGGCCATGTGTGCGGCAGGCTGGCCTGCTTCTGGACCACAAGCCTCCTGCCAGCATGGTGTTTGCTTGAGAAGGAAGATTTCTTGACAAACTCTCCACTGACATTGCCAGTCATTGCTACGCCCACATGCAGCCAAGCAACGAGAGACATTCTTCTGCTGAAAGTGTTCGCGGCATGCCTGTCAAGATTCCGGATCACAGTTTGACTAAACTGGAAACATTGGTGACAGTGTCGTTCAGCCAGCGTCGTTATTTTGTCTCACTCCGCCTCACACGCGTGGCCCTTTGGACCTTGGGACCTGGGGTCCTATGTCAACTCTCCGGACCCCATTCCAAGAGAGCAACAACAATGAACTTCGGCTTCCAGTCAATCCGTAGAATTGCACTTAGGATTTAGAGTTTAACTTTGGGCTTTGCAGTCAGAACTATACCAGCAATATAGACCATGTGAGCCCAGATGTTCAGAAACGATAACAGAGATACCAAAAACGAAGACAGTTTGGTATTTCCCGGAAACAAACCTCATGTCCACAAGCGACGGCAGCTTCACCGAAAGACGTTTTGCAAACCCCCGAAACTAGTCCGAGGCTGCGATCGCAAGTACAAATGAGAGTGTGCATTAGCAGCCTGAGGGAAAGGCATGGCCTGTCAGCATGCTGAACCTGCCTTGAGCATATGGTTCACACAAGATGAGCAAAGACTCTGCAGCAACTAAGCAACTGATCATCTTTAGCAAATGTCACGTCGTCAATGAGGAAGCCTTCAGCGCTGCACGCACGCTGGCCTTAGCCTTCAACCCCTGCTTTCAAATCGGCTATAGCGGGCCAACGGCGATTAGCTGCCTTGGGATTGCAAGCTTTCAGAACGCTTCCCTGTAAATCTTGAGCCAACTGAAGCCTACTGTACAGCTGCAGCACCTGGCTGCTCCAATTGGCTCGTTTGGCCTGTTTGGGGTTTGCAAAATGCGACCAATTGGCACACCACAAACTCAGTGCTGCTTTGCTAAACCCGTCGGCTTTGCCAACAGCCATGAGAGGCTTAGAAGTGGCCACATAGAAAATGGTGCATCCAAAACTCCACTGATCCACGGCTGGGGTCAGCAGTCGATGAAGTCTTTGAAGCTCCTTCTCCCCGTTTACGTCAAGTAGCTCTGGGGGTCGAAACGGATAGGTGACATACTCGGTGTACCGCAAAT